CCTCGGATGCCTCAAAAGCTCAGTCATTGCCCACTCTAGCACTGCATATGTGGTATGAGTGCCTGCAATAAACATATCCTACATGAACAATGAACAAAGTTAGGTTGATCAGGTAAAATCATCCAAAAGTCTTGTGATTCAGTAGCTCATTTTTTGTTCCATCATTTTGTCGACGTTTACAAGCAGTTATAGTAAACTCTCTAGTTCCAATCAGGGTCGGCCCTGAGGGTAGCCCAAGTAGGCGCCTACCTAGGGCCCCCACTTTGGAAGGGCCCAAAATAAAATTTATATCTTGTAATGAACATATAAATACAAAAAATGTAATAAATATCATAATTCATTTGTTAGTGCAGTGGAAATGTTGGCTTCATTTTTTTTTTTTGGGTGTTGAGTTCGAAACACGAAGTTGCTTTTTAGTCACTAGATTTTTCTTATTTTTCAAATTTACTGCCAATTCATCTGTCCAACTCCCAATCTATCTGTCCAAATGCATATAAAGTTATAAAACTCAAGTCTCTGCAATCTTTTTTCTTTCAACTTCTCATTATGTCCATTTTTATCAAATGTTTAAACCAACTTCCCATTCTTTCCATTTCTATTGAATGTTTAAACCATCATATGGCCTTAAAGATTGTACAAGATAATCAAAACTTTGAATTTTATATTTTTCTTTTCAATAACTTTTTATTCGATGGATTATTTTAATATTCAATTCGTTAGTGTGATGTTGATTTTAGAAGGAAAAAAACACAAGAGAAACAATTGGCGTTGAATTTATTATACTCGTTAATCAAGTTTTATTGTTATTTACTCTCTTGATCATTAAGTTTTATTATTCTTCACTCTCAATCTTAAACTCTTGACTGCAAACATTTAGTACATTTGTGTCTAAAAACGTGAATCGTGTAATGTTTAAATAATCTTTGTATATTTATCTTCTTTTCATATTAATTTTTAATGATATTTGATGTGAAAATAGAGCTTTTTATGTATTTAGCAAATTCTTTTTTATACAAATCAATATACAAAGAACCGGAGATCAGAGAATTTTAGGGCCCCACTTCAAAGGCTCGCCTAGGGTCCCCAAATTCTCAGGGTGGGCCCTGGTTCCAATTATAGGTAAATGTCACATTCATGTGCAAATCAGATGCAAATAGAGAGACTTACTAAGATGAGAGCCTTTATGCCAACTCTATCAAGAGAAAAACCAGCCAAGCTTCCTTCCTGAATCCCAAGCAAAATATCCACGAAATCCTTTTGTTCCTCGTTCTCAACATGAACATGTTCATCATTTCCACTTTTGGACGTCTGATCGCTATGCTCTTGAACCACACTCTCTAGAAAGTCGTCAAATTGCTTAGCAACCTTGTCTATCTTGGCATGCAAACCATTGACACGGCTCAACCAAGAAAGCCATGGGATATAGTCCCCGATATCCATAGTTCCCAATAACTCCACGAACTCCTTTATAATCTCCTTAGACATCTTCCCACCTTCTTCACCACTGTACTTCCTCCCTAGAGCCACTCTACATAGCACATCGTTGGTAAGCGTCACAAACATTTCGCGTAAATTCAGAACTGATGATGATGAGGAGGAAGAGGATAATATAGAACAAGAGTCCTTTATTTTGTTGATCATGAGCTGGGTTTCCTCTTCTCTCACAGCACGAAAAGAGCGAACCCTTTTGTTGCTCAAAAGATTTAAAACACATATACTTTTCATCTGCCTCCAGTACTCACCATAAGGGGCTGTTGCGATGTCTTTGTAGTTGTAGGCAAGCTTCTCATAGATGGTGGACTTGGGTCGGTCGGAAAATGCGATTTCATGGGTTTTCATGATCTCACGGGCAGCCTCGGCAGAAGAGACAACAAGGACTGGGACACTTCCGAAGTGGAGAAGCATAAGAGGGCCATGGCGTTTAGATAAAGCTAGAAGTGAGCGATGTGGGTGCAAGCCTAATTGGTGAAAGTTTCCAATGATGGGGAACTTTGGTGGAGATGGCGGTAAGGAGTTGTTGGCGGTGGTTGCACTGGCAGAGGACCATTTGTATAGGAGGATTAGGAAAATGGCCACAAGCGCGAAGGAAACCGGTTGCAACAAGTCGGAGGTTCCAAGCAGTTGTAGCATTTGTAAGAGATGTCTTAGCATCTTAATTCTTCTTTCTGAATCAGTAACAAGTGTTTTAATTAGGAAACTTAAAGAAATTGTGTGTCTGTTTTGTTGTTTAAATACAGATCTTATGTCTTGGTATCGTGTGGAATAGGATCATCCCATAAGCAAACAAAGTAAAGGCCGAATAGTGCGTATGTAGACCACATCAATTCTAGACAACTTGAAAGCTTTTCCAACTTGCTGACATTGACCTTGTAACTCATTATTTGTGACAGAGATCTTGGATTCATCTGACAAGATTGTAGAAAAATCAGATGTTTACGAATTTTATGAAACTTGGACTTTTATTTGTGCTTGGATTTGTAAATATGCAAAGATCTTTTGGATATTCTTAAGTAGGTCACAGTCTCACAGATTTCATGATCTTTACATATCTTCATGTTTTTGCTTACGTAATGAAACTTTATATAAAACAGACGTCGTCCTCCGCAGCAGATATCATCGACATCTTCACACGCCCAGCCTTCCAACTAAAAATGGAACGCATAGGAATCCTGTAGTTTGATCAGAGAAAAGCTATTTGATGTAAACTCGTATCTGAAGGTGATATCATCAAGCTTAAATGTAGAAAAATACCACCTCTGATGATATTTTTTTAGGGGTGTAATATCCATACACCCTTTTTACTTCTCACATCCCTTCCAATTTTCGGCCATCGAATCGGATGAATTGAAGAAGATCGAAGGATAAAAATTAACTCGGGATGTGTGAGAAGTAAAAAGAGATGTATGGATATCACACCCTGATTTTTATGGAGACATAATGTTTATGTTTTATGTCACAAGCGCACGCTCGCATGCGCACACAAGATTTGACTCTGTCTCTGCTCATTAGTTGACGTCGAAAATTTACAAGAATTTGCGTTCAATTATTAGCAGTGCACTTGACTTTTAAGCAGTTAATCCTCCCCCCTCGCTCCACCAGGCAGTTTTTCCCATAAGTAGATTCAGCCGTGTGTAAATCCACCCCGCTTGCTCCACCAGGCAATTTCCAATGGAACTTGTGCACGTTACTTGTTAAGGCAATCTCATTAACAACTATGGCGAACTGAATTTCCGGGCAGACCCTCCTACCAGCTCCGAGAATCAACTGAAAGTCATTCCCTTTATAATCTATCTGTTGGTATATGGTCCAGCCCATGATCAATGTTATAGATTATTCTAGTAAGCAAATAAGGTGGTTGGAGCATACTAGACAATTCTAGCATGTTATTAAGTTGATGGAAGAAGCTAGAGAGTACTAGCTTCCTTGGTTGCAAACACTACTAGGAAACCAGTTATTAGTGGCGTTTGGAAAACCGACAACAAACATATATTATTGTCGGATTTTAAGCAAAATTCGACAGAAAATAGATGCAGTGGCGGATATAATAAGCGACAGAATTGCCTGCGTCAGGAAATTAATTTTCCGACAGAAAACACTCTAAAACTGACAGAAATGGTGTCGGATATAACCGACAGAAAATCATTAAGCCATCCGACAGAAATTAATTAAAAATGAATAAATAAAAACTATTTCCTGTCGGCTAAAACCGACAGGACTTATATTAATAAAAAAAGGTCGTACCCAGTGCACAAGGCTCCCGCTTTACGCAGGGTCTGGGAGAGGTGAATGTCGCCCAACCTCGCCTCATTCACCATCCAACCTCGCCAGAGCTCGATCTCACCGGTGACTATTAGGGCCTTTAAAGTCTTAGGCAATGGAGCAATAATGGGCACCGTTTTCTTAGTCCACGACCCGTCATACGACTCCTCCGCCCATCCCCACCGTATGTCACCATTGTCGGCCTCCCTTCATCACTTCATCCAACCCTGGTTCAAAGTCAGGTGTGGATTAAAGTTCTACAACGAAAAAGATCCATTGTTTGGTATACCATTATTCAGTGGCGTGAGTTGAGGAAGTTTTGTATCTATACCATTGTTTGGTTGCTTTCCAGCAGACGCCTTTTCTGAAATAGTTTTAAGCTGCACAAAATAAATTATATGTACTTTCAGATCTTGTAAATTGAATATTGTGGTTTTTTTAATCATTTGAAGAAATGCAAGGTAGATGCATGATAAGTTTCCAATTTAGTGACTAGAAGGCCTACAAAGAATTGGGAGTGAGAAAATAAGACTGTCATTAGCTGTATTTAAGGTAAGTTTATGTTTTAAAACTTTAAAATCATGTGAAGCAACTCTCGTTGTTATGTATCAGGAAAGCATTTCAGAAAAGTTAAATAAAGGATGGATGGAGGGGGAGTTACAAGATCCATATAGAAAGATTAATTATCTTGGGAAAATTCATCGACCAGAAAAAGATCCAAGGATTATGAGTGTGCACAAACAAGGTAGAATTGTTGTCGTACAGATAATAAGAAGGGACAGATATGAATAATATCGAATGATAAGGCAGCAAGTACAATGTCTACAAGTTCCATGCCATAGAGAAGTGTGTGACAACTGTAAAACAAGGAACAAAAATGAAAATCAAGTCGTAAATAACAGACATGAACTTCCTTCAAAAGCAAAATGGAAAGTCTAGAGAATGAAAATCGACAGCATTTTTATAAACATAACCCCTTAATTTTTAGGAGAAGCAAGACATTTACCCTTAACGCCAAAGCTTTTATAACAGGATGACAGAAGATAAATGATCTTTTGACAGAGAGTTAAGTGCTGTATAATTACTTTAGTCTAAAAAAGCATTGCAATTGGCACTGTTCTTTACTGTTCATTGTTTTTGGACCCCAATTTCACTCTATTTATGGACTTGCCATTCATCTTAGCATTTCGCCTGGGCTTTTTTTTCCAGGTTTAGTTGGATAGGCTTTTGGGGGTTTGGGCTGTGACTTGGTTGGTGCCTTTCGTTTGTGGTTGGATTTTTCGGATGGATGGCCGACACGGGCAGGCCTAGCCTGCAACAAAGCCAGTGAGAAGGGAGAGGGAGGTGTCGTGTGATGCGAGAGAGAAGGCAAGGCAGGTGACCTTCTCAAAGAGGAGAAGCGGGGATTTGAAGAAAGCTGGAGAGATGTCGATTCTGTGTGAATCTGAAGCTGTTGTTATCATCTTTTCTCAAACTGGCAAGCTCCTTGATTTCTCAAGCTCCAGGTACCAACCCTGTACAACATCCCACCGCCTTATAAATTCTTTCGAATTTTCCAATTTGTTTTTGCAAGTTTTCAATCCAGTGTTGGACTTTGAGAAATAAGTTTTGGAATTGCTTTTTAGGTATGGATTTTATGGGAGGCGTCTAGAAAGTTCCAACTTTTATCTTCATGTTTAAGAGTCAGAAAGCACGGGATGCTAAGGATCGACTTGAACCGGTTGCCTCGCAGGCTCAAAAGGTCACATATACTATATGCTGATACGTTTCCTGCAATCTTTGGTCTATGAGACTATGAGTATGGTGTCATTTTGCAATTGGCTTCTTTGTTTTTGATTGCAGATGAACAACATTGTTACTGAACAATGGATTCAAATTCAGCGACTTGAGCAGGCTTTTCATAGTACTCAAGTAAGCATTTGTACTTGAGACTGGCTTCTCATTCTGTGTGCAAGTTTTATCGAAATGAGCTTTATTAATTGGTTTAACTCGGTTAGGACTATGAGGTTTCAAAGGCAAGTGAGCTCTAGAAGATGCACATTCTTGAAGGTAATAGTTTAGAAAAGTCTGTATGTGTGAGTCGGTGAGGCTTCATTTAACCAATTAGAAACCACTTTCCTGTATAATTAGAGTTATAGAATGCAGTGAAATATATATATTTTTTTTTCAGTGTAATTAGTCTTTTTTAACTTTTATTCTGTTTGTGCAACATCCTTAGGCCGTTGTGAAGTGTATAATTAGAGTCAATAGAATGCAATGAAATATAATGTTTTTTTCACTCTCTTTAGATTTTTTTCTTTTACTTTATTCTCTTTGTGCAAGATCCTAGGCCGTTGTGAAGTCGTCGTTCTCAACCAATTTTCTATGGATATATCTAAGATTAAGTTCGATGTATATAAGCATTGAAGTGGTGACCTTTTATTCACAAATTGTGTGCACTCTGACCTGATTTATCTAAAGAATTATCCGATTGGGGTATGGTTTTTAGCACACCCACACCCCACCCAAAAATAAAATAAAATGGTGAGGTGGTGTTGCTGTCATTTTTACCATTGTCAATCATTATAATTTTAGCTAATAAGACAATATTATGTTCATTCTTCTATATTCGAGTTCAAATCGTTCTATTTTCAGTTTTGTAAGAGATTATCTTTTACCAATTGTCAAGGTGCTTCCAACCATAAATTGATATATTACTTACCTTTATTTTTTCTCTTAATTTATCAGGAATTTATTTGCGCATGTGTAGTGTAGACAATTTTAACCCATGAGTATTTAACTTTAATTGGAAATGATCTTTGTATGAAATTATCTTGCTCACTGTTTGGATTCCGAGAAAATTTAGGGGATGTCCAGTAATATTCACATCCTGAAAACTCAGTGAATGACGAATTTGGAATTGAGAATTGGGGTGGGGAGAGTAAAAAAAAAAAGAATGTGGTGGGTGTCTGTTTCGGGGTAGACAGACAGGCGGTGGAGGAGCTAGGGTTAGAAAAAGGGAAGAAAGAGATAGAAAGAGAGTTGGAGAATTTAGGGTAATACGATGAGGAGTGAGAAAGAAGAGAGAGAAAGGAGGGTGGTGGAGAGAGAGGTAAAGGAGAAGAGAGGAGAGAAGGGAACTGGCTTGGCTGCCTAATAATCTTCGTGTTTACCATTTTGCTAATTCCATGACCCAAAAGCCCAAGTTTTTTTTTCCCCCCGAAATTCCCCGCTGCCTGTGCCCTTTTTATTAAATTATCTCTTAGATTACTGGCATAAAAGAGTTATAATATTAGTTAGTTGTCAGTTGCAGTTTGGCCCATTTTTCTATAGCGTGTTTGCCCTTTTTATTCAAATATAATTATCTGATTACATGTACTCCTGACATGTTTTAGTAATATCCTACAGGATGATGCCCATATCTTTTGCAGGGAGTCCCAAGTGAGTTGAGCTTAATTAAATTGTACCTACTGTTTACAACTTTACATTTTTTTTTGTTTCGTTCTTAAGACTTTTGGTTTTTTGTGCTTCTGTTGTCAGGTGAAAGATGAAGTAAAGGGTGTCTTACATTTCATCCAGTATACTTATAATATTTTTGGCTTCTCTTTCGACCTGAAGCTATCAACAGTAAGATTCTTATTACCTGTGCTTAAAGCTTCAGACCTCTTGCCTTCATCTTAACTTGCAAAAGTCATATGATGGTTTTATAATATATTAGATGATACATAATACTGTTATGATTATTTGGTATATTCTAATATAGCAGTAAGTATATACCGTGCTGAATTTCTAATAAAACAAAGCTAATCTTAATCTTATTTGGTGTATGGATAGCAGGGATAACTAAGTATTGTCATTGGGGAGACTAATGGTGCACTATCTTTCGATGGGTTTGTTTTTTTATACTAATTGCCTGCTTATCGTCGTGGACATAGGCGTTTAATCTTAGGACTTTCCGCATATCGTAGCCGACATTATTTTTCCATTCTAACATTAACTAACGTTACCACTATATCAAATCAACATGCTAAGTGTGGATCAGCCATTTCAATTGAATATATATTTAAATACTTGCAACTTTGTTTTATATTGGGTTTGGTTTCAGCAGACGGTGGTTTTTCTTATTTTGAGGCTTTTGTTTCCAGGCTGCCCTGTGTACTCAAGGTGAGCAATTTCAATTTATAGGGTTATTGAATTGAGATTTTTAGTTTTTCATTATATTGGAGTTGAGTTTGGTATTTTGTTTAGGTTTTATTATATTAATTATCATAAGCTTCTTTGAGATTACAAGATTTTCTTGGACACATTACTGCAATACAGGAGTTAGAACAAAAAGTGGCTGATTAGAAGGCTTGAAAACAAGTGTGAAATTACATTCAAAATATTAGCATGTTAACAAATCATCTTCAAAAGTTGTAAATACAATATTTCTTACTAATTTTTTTTGTTTATATATTCTACGTGTTTATACAGAATTAAAAAATGGTTATAATTGGAATATTACGCTTAATCTTCTTTTGGTATGTGTTTGATTTTCTTTTGTTGGGTGTGTTTTGTGGCTCATCAGAAACAGTTAGCAAGTGAAACCTATAACCAAAGGCTTATTTATTTTTTCCAAATGGTTTTAATCTATTGTAGGTAAACGGGAGCTACTATGCTGTTTATGCAGTAAGGTTCACCATCAGCTGTAGATACGAGCAGCATGGCAAAGTTAAAGTATGCGTAAATGGCAAGAGTTTTTGCCTCAACTGGAAATTGTAGCGTGTGTAACTATACTGGGACATGTAATGAGCAGAAATGTTTAAGTAGCTGTGGGGAGGTAATAAACATGTTTACTTTTGGCCTATGCTTACTCTAGGGTAATTGACAAACTGGTTAATTACACACGAAGCTAAAAACTTTTGGCCAACAAACTGATTCTCATGCCCTGCCACATGCTTAAACACATCAGAGTAATTGAGAGCTAATTGTACAATTTTTATGATTTAGGGCTTGCATTCATTAAAATGGAAACACATTCTAAATTAGGATTCATAACATTGTCTTACAAAAATTCCAAATGGAAAGCAGTCCATACCTTCATTAGAAGGGAAACTGAAAGTATATAAATTATGAAGTGCATAAACCTCAGTTTTAAATATGACAACATGATAATGCATTTCAGTGCATATAAATGTAGTTCCACAAATTAGGCTCCATCTGAATGCAATTGGTTTCTCAGCTAGATTGCCATGGATGAAGTATGATGTTTTATTAACCGCATCTAATGATCTTACTTATGGATTGCAGGAAGAAGTTATCAAGTTAAAAGAACAATTTAGCCATTTGAAAAGTTTGGTAAGCTCTTGCCTTGGTTTATGTTCAAGCTTGAGCTTCTTAGTTGGCCGTCAATCGCTATATTTTCATTCATTTATTTGGGATGTGGTGGCACTGTTGATGCCATTGCTATGAATCCCAGGATTTTACATCTCAGATTTCACTTTTGACAGTTTCAAATTGGTGCTTTAACTTTTTTTTCCCCTTAATTTCGTAAAGTTTAGGCCTTTTCTTAAAATTTAAATAAAAGAAATATCTTTCTGGTATTGGTTAGTTTTGATCTTGATATTATTTGGGTTTTGTGTTAGTGGGGATGACGGTCTTGCGCAATGTTAGCCGTTCGTGGCTCACCGGAAAACCCCCTGATTGGGCTTTATTAGGAGGGAACTCATAATGTAGTAGATATTCCTCAATGCAAAGGTCCCAATCCTAATGACTTTATATTTGATATTTAATCCTTGAATTAGTGTTAAATTCTATATTCTTTTTGTTTAATTTGTGCGTGTTTTTTTTTTTTTTTTTCTGTTTTCCAAGTATAAATGCTGCCGTGGAGCTGCTTAAACAAGGTCTCTTTTCGGTTATTAAAACTCAATGTTACCTGCTTTCACTTCCAGTTTTTGAGTCTTCTATTTGTTTGTTTGCTGCAATTATTCAACTTATGCTGCTATAATATTTGTTTCCTTCTGTTTTGTCCTCTGCATTAACTACCATTTGGATCATGTGAATGACAACTTTCATGTATATTTCGAATAATGAGCAGTTTATTGCTGTTAATCTTTTGATCACTGTATATGTTGCTAATTTACCTTCTCAAACAACGTACATGTAAACATTGATATATAAAACTTATTTATATGTTAGTAGTATGGTTTCTTTACTTTTTGAGTTTGGTTGAACAACAGCATTGTCTACTTTCTAGAGTTCATCCTCTTTATTTTAGCCCAGGCCGACTCACTCCACTCTATTTGAAGCTCACAACTTTTTCGAACAAATTGCTCAAAAATTCCTGCTCTCAAACATCTTAGATCCCTCACTCACCCTTCTGGAATCGACGCCCCAAAGGTATATTTCTCTCATTGCTTTCAAAATTCTGTATATATATATAGCTGACATGTATTAAGACATTCACATATGGTAGAACTAAAGGGACGGTAGAATGCTCGAATAATGGAATAGAGTTGAGATTATGATGAGAAAGGACAGTAAATAGCTATCACTATGTGAGTGTCTTATTTTCTTTCACTATGTAATAGCTATCACTAACTTTTGTTTTTACTGTCATATTGTATTTCCCATGTTGAGAGATAGAACTAAAAGGACAGTAAAATGCTCGAATAATGGAACAGAGTTGAGATTATGCCCGAGGTGTGTGGTAATCTTTCTACTTTAGCAAAGCCAAATTGCAATTTGTTTTGGAACAAAGAAAGATGCTCTGTTAATCTAGGGATATGGCACCCCTTTGGTTTTTGGAAAGGATTTGGTGCATTATTGAATAAGAGCTTTTTTCTTTAGAATTATTGAATCAGTGCTTATGTATGATGTTTGCAGATGTTACAGTAACAACTGCAAATACAAGTTCAGAGGAAGATCATATTCCTTTTGTGGTGCAACTGGAGTTTGTTATCGTATGCGGTGCTTTTCATTGTATGGCCATATGAAGCTGCAGATGCAAATATTTCTTAAGGTGGTCTTCTTCACTATGAATAGATTCATACATGCATACTTATTCACGCTTGCATACATACTTTGGGGTTGCTAAGATTTTCCTTTCGGTTTCATAGGTACATGACGATCCTTCTAACGCTCCAGTTTGATGGTCCAACTCAATGGGTGAGTAATGCCGTTTATTTTCGTGCGTGTATTTTCTGGAAGTTCATTCCTGTTTTGGGATGTTTGAATATATATAGGCATTGTTTAAATTACAATATTTTATTAAGTTAAACTGTTTAAATTACTTCTTATTTATAATTTTAGCCCTTACGCCACTTGGGGGGACTGCTAGTAGAGATCATAGCAATTGATGTAAGTCCCTTACTTCTGTAATACGGTACTTGGAGTGACTGCTGGTAGAGCTCATAGCAATTGTTGTAAGTCCCTTACTTCCGTTATACGGACACTTACATTTATGATCATTTTTGTGTTAAGACGATACAATTATAACTTATAACCGTCTTACATAGATCAACGCATATGTATATCGAATTTACCTGCATTACTTGAACAATTTGCTTTTCGATTCGCGAAGGGAATTAATAAAAAACCAATATCTGTGTAAAAGTTTAGTTTCCAACTTTCTAGCAGTGAAAATGTTGCCCTTTCTGCAGACTACACCCTTTCACACACTCACTTTGATATGGTTAAACATATATATTCAAGATTTTGATCTCTGTGTGATTTGGCAATACTTTTCACTTAATATTCCTCTCTCTCTCTCTCTCTCTCTCTCTCTCTCTCTCTCTCTCTCATGAAGGCACTCATTGCACTAAAAAAAGGTTCCCGGTTAATCAAGTATAGCCTGAAAGGGAAGCCAAAACTTCGTCCATTCAGAATTTCTACTGTGAGTAATTTCCTTAAGAGAAGAATAAGTTTGAATCACTTTTTTTGGAAATTTTGTTTATTATAGTTCTTTGAATGAAAAATACTAATTTGTACAAATTACAAGGTATGTTACCACTCTCCTTAATCTACATATATGCAATGTGCAAAATTACATCTATTCTCAAGAATGAACCTGTTTTTGTTCCATCCTTCTGTTAAGGATTATAATTTCTATAGAATTTATAAGTTTTCTCTCTTTCGGGTTACTTTTATGTTTCGAATTAGTTGGATTTAGCATTCTTCACAAGCTTTGATAATTGTTTACTTTCTAAGTTTTGTTCCATGCATAGTTGATTTTCTTTAATAATTGTTGAATCGCTTCTATATTTGCTTGGTACTTAGGATCTAAACCATTTTTTGCATCTTAGGTAAAATCGTTTTAGTTCTGAATTTCTCTTCTTTGATTGATTTTGGTGTGTTTGCAGCACTCAATGTCAGATTTTGAGATCAACGAATCAGCTCATTGCTGTGGTCGAAGTTGGGGAAGGTGATGTGATGTTAGAAATTAGGCTGCGAACAGGTTCTTTGACCAATGTTCTTATTAATGCTTGTGCATTTGTGCTCGCAATCAAAAAGGTTGTTTGAATGTCTGTGTTTCTGTGTTTCTTCTTTGAATGCAATTACAACTCTGAGTTTGTATTTGTTGCAAATTTGTGGAATTAAGTTGGTATTGCACTGATTATGTGTAGTGTTATATGGGCTTTAGGATCCACACATGGCTACTCATGTGAGTGAGAGATTTGCGGAGACTGACCGGTTCAAGGTAAAGCCATATTTTATCATATCTCTATATGTCCTATGCTACTAAGAAATGAGCTCTTCTCTGGCATTCTGGACAATTGGAAATTAAGTTTTATGCTTTTATGTTTTTATTGCTGATGCCATTGTGATCACTTTAGTAAGTTTTGTCACTTAAATCTGTAGGTTTTGAAAGAGGACTTTGTCAAATGTCGCATTCACTCATATGTGGTGTCGTTGTTGGCATGTGCAGAGCCATCGGTCTCACCGCCACGATCTTCCACGATTCCATTTTTCCTTTCTTTTAATTTATTTTTAAATTTTAAAAGTTTTTGTTGATGGTTTGTTTGTGGAAATGGATGAAATCAGGTGTTGGATTAAACTGTACCTTCCTCAACACAAAAAAAAAAAAAAAAAAGGATTGATCCATGGAGACTGCAATTTGTGGGAGAATCCCTCTCCCCCAACCATGTCTTCAACCCCAAACCAGATTCTCTCCATTTTTCTCAATTCTTTCCCTCTTTTCAGATTTTGGGTTTCCCTCAAAATCTTTGATTTCTTCATCAATTGTAAGATTAGGAGTAGATTTTCTTAGCTTCTTTAATTCAAAGCTTGGAATTTTTTTTTTTTATTTTAGGATTTTTTTTTTAATCAAACTTTGTGAAATTTAATGTATAATTGGCCTAGAAAATTGATTCTTTCTAATGGCTTTCCTTTTTCTTTTTTTTTTTTGGTAAATGGAAGTGTTCTGTACTTATTTTGCAGAACATGAACTGCCAAGGGTCAACACTTGAGAAGGTGATTTGGGTGGAGATCGTAAAGATGGACATTTGTAAGCCTTATCAATCTTCAATTTTTATTTTTCTCGCTTTTATTAAACATGAACTTATTTTTCACTGTGATCTGTTTTGTTAAAGGTAATGATAAAGATTAATCAATTTTGTTTGTTTGGGGGGTTTATGATCAGAACCTTGATGAGACCTTTAGTGTGAAAGGCTTTTGGTTTCATAAGTCACAACAAAATTGAATACCAAATCAATAAAAATCTGGCCATAAATGCACCACTTCTTTACTCCATATTTATGCACATATCTCCCAATATATATGCACTGATGAGACCATAAGGAGGTTTCCCAATTATTAAACAAACCGAGATAACTTAACAAGTTAAGTCCGATATCAGGCTCAATTGTAGGTTGCCTTTAATTATTATATCTTTTTAAGAAACATTAGCTTATATGTGCACTAAGTAAACTAAGGTCATCTACTATAAGTGTCCCTATGTCTTTGATCTGTTTACACTGTGTGTTATTTGTGTCTGATTGGTTTTTCCCCTATATTTCCCTATGTTTTCTATCTCTTTATATGTGCACTAATTAATTTGATCAGTGTGTGTATTATTTGTCTAATTGGTGTTGGGTATTTTCCAATTTGGGGTCTTTATTTACTTAGTGTGCAATCCAATGTCTTATCTGGTTAGAGAGAACATAATGTTTGACAATAGGATGTCTGATATCTGATCCATTCTGGTTCTGTAGATATGCTGAATAAGTAGACGATTAATTGTAGATGTAATACCCCTTAGCAGGATGTCTGATGTCTGATGTAGGATGTCTGATATCGAGTATCTAGAGATTATGTTATCTAGAGATTGTCTTTTGTCAGTAGATGATTAATTGTAGATGTAATACCCCTTAGTAGAAGGAAATTAAGGTGCATTAACAAGAAAAATCAAGATAATGTGTACACAAGTGGATTAGTTTTTTGGCTGTCAGTTGGTGTCCAACCTGATGCAAGTCTGAAAGTGGATTGCGTATGTTTATATCTTCCTTTCTCCTAAATACTGAGTTTTATGAGATCACACCATCTTATGTTTATTGTATAATCTTATGCAGTCAGAAGAATTATCATCTTTTTCCTTTCAGATTTCAACATATTTGGAAATACTTCAAATTTTTTGTAGTGCAGTTTGTAGTTAACATGATTACGCAAGTTCTGTTTCTTTAGTAAATTTTTATGCAGGAAAGAAAGTCATTTCTCAGTTTGTAGTTAACATGATTACATAAGTTCTGCTTATCTTATCGACCTCATTCACTCATTTGTTCCTCTGTTCATTCATGATTGTGTTAAATTTATTCAGGTTAAATGTGTCTTATTCATGCAGTTACGCATGAAACAGTTGTTCCCGCAGCAACGCGGGCTTATTTTCTAGTTTTCTCTATAATACGGTTTAACTAGTACTTCTGTTGGAGACACCGATGCCATTGATATCGTTCTTGTTCATCTCTTGCAGCTGGGATGCCGGTTGATTCCACAGCCATGTCTTGATCATTGAAAGCCCAATATTCGAGCTGCTGCTGTTGATATTAATGTTACCGACTGCACCGTCTCCGTTGATGACATTTGTGGGATCGGAAATCTCTAACGGAAGCTGCAAAGAAGAGACGGTTCTGGAGAAGATGTTGTCGGTAGTATTAATACTGGCGGTGTTTTTACTATTGTATCCATGCGCAGAACTACTGCTACTCTGGATATGCCCTTTACAATGTGTGTGGAATTGTTGGTTGGAATGGGTTGCAAGTGTTCGAACAGAACAAAAAAGAAGAGAGGAGAAGGAGAAGGAAATGAGGACAGGAGAATAGGGGGAAGCATCGGCGCAAGGAAAATGGATGGGTTTTAAAAATTTAGGTTATTTTAATTACAACCGACAGAAATATTTTTTAAAAAATAAAAACTGACAGAAAAATTTCATTTCTGTCATTTATAATCGACAGAAGAAAATATGGCGGCAAAATTCCCTCCGAAAATTTTAAAATTTTCCCTCAAAATTTTAAACTCCCCCCAAAATTTTGTTACAATTTAAAAAAATAAAATAATAATTGTTTGGTTTAATAAATAAATAAATAATATGTATTTAAATAGAATAAGTTTTTAAAAATTAATTAAATAATTTTTTAATTTAATAGATAATTTTTACACTTTTGGTTTAATAGAGAATAATGCATGTAAAATATGCGATAAAGAAACAAAAAAAGAATTGCACAATGAAAATGTCATCATACAAACTAAATATTGTCTAATCAATACTTGAAAAACATAAATAAATATTGTTTAATGAATAAATTTGATATTCAATTTAAAATATTTACACTTAATGGAAGTATAACATTAACTCTAAATGTTTGTTTAATCTATCGTTTTGATGGGATACGCATTCTACGAAGCGTTTTTCAACGATCCAACCGTCAAACTTGTTTGTACACACTCCGATATCACATAGGTAAAAAATCACAAAAAACAAACATTAAGAGATTAGGTAACAAAACAAAAGTTTTCAACGGTTATAAACGAAAAATCACAATTTAACGGTTACTTTAGCTCCGATTTTGTTGATTTTTTACAGCTACACTCCTCGACCCTATAAGAATGCATTGAATGAATTCGATCTTCAATTTAAAATATTTCCACTAGTGGATAAATCTTATTTTATACTTAATGGAAGTATAACATTAACTCTAAGTGTTTGTTTAATCTACCGTTTTGATGCGATACGCATTCTACGAAGCGTTTTTCAACGATCCAACCGTCAAACTTGTTTGTACACACTCCGAGATCGCATACGTAAAAAATTACAAAAAACAAACATTAAGAGATTAGGTAACAAAATAAAAGTTTTCAACGGTTATAAACGAAAAATCACAATTTAACGGTTACTTTAGCTCCGATTTTGATGATTTTTTACAGCAACATTCCTCGACCCTATAAGAATGCATTGAACTAATTTGATCTTCAATTTAAAATATTTACACTAGTAGATAAATCTCATTTTATACTTAATGGAAGTATAACATTAACTCTAAGTGTTTGTTTAATCTACCGTTTTGATGCGACACGCATTCTACGAAGCGTTTTTCAACGATCCAACCGTCAAACTTGTTTGTACACACTCCGAGATCGCATACATAAAAAATAAAAAAAAACAAACATTAAGAGATTAGGTAACAAAACAATAGTTTTCAACGGTTATAAACGAAAAATCACAATTTAACAGTTACTTTAACTCCGATTTTGATGATTTTTTACAGCTACACTCCTCGACCCTATAAGAATGCATTAAACGAATTCAATCTTCAATTTAAAATATTTGCACTAGTGGATAAATCTTATTTTATACTTAACGGAAGTATAACATTAACTCTAAGTGTTTGTTTAATCTACCGTTTTGATGCGATACACATTCTACGAAACGTTTTTCAACGATCCAACTGTCAAACTTGTTTATACACACTCCGAGATTGCATACGTAAAAAATCACAAAAAACAAACATTAAGAGATTAGGTAACAAAATAAAAGTTTTCAATGGTTATAAACGAAAAATCATAATTTAACGGTTATTTTAGCTCCGATTTTAATGATTTTTTACAACTACATTCCTCGACCCTATAAGAATGTAATGAATGAATTTGATCTTCAATTTAAAATATTTACACTAGTGGATACCACAAAATTTTATTTTATACTTAATGGAAGTATAACATTAACTCTTAAGTGTTTATTTAATCTACCATTTTGACGCAATACACATTCTACGAAACTTTTTTCAATGATCTAACCGTCAAACTTGTTTGTAAACACTCCGAGATCACATACGTAAAAAATCACAAAAAACAAACGTTCAGAGATTAGGTAACAAAACAAAAGTTTTCGACGGTTATAAACGAAAAATCACAATTTAACGGTTGTTTTAGCTCCGATTTTGATGATTTTTTGCAGCTACACTTCTCGATCCTTTAAGAATGCAATGAATGAATTCGATCTTCGATTTAAAATATTTACACTAGTGGATAAATCTTATTTTATAAATAATGGAAGCATAACATTAACTCTTAAGTGTTTGTTAAATCTATCAATTTGATAGGATATGCATTCGTCAAATATGTTCGTATATACTATGAGATAGCATGTGTAAAAATCGCAAAAAATATAACATTTAAAACTTGTGTTTATTTATTTTAATCAATATAACATTTTAAAATAATAAAACCAGACATGATAAAGTACACCAGATGTTCATGTGTGTTTATGTGCCAGACAATGTGCATTGTGACGCATTGGAAAAAATTGTTTAAATTTCTTTGTATCTTGTTGCTTGCCTATGAGGGAGCATAAACCTTATTACAAAAATGATAAAGCTTTAGATTGTAGTCTGTTGTCATTATTCTCTCAGAAAATTTATGGCTTGTGAGAATTGGGTTCATTAGACTTTAGGGTCATGAGTGAAAAAAAAATTTAAAATATGTGTTTATTTATTTATTTTTAATCAATATAACATTTTAAAATAATAAAATTTTCATCTATGTCTGTTATAACCGCCAAAATACTAAAATAATAACCGCCATA